AGTGCATTTTTATCAATTTTGTTAAGCCAAATAAAACTTTCCTATAAAAAAAAATCAATTTCATTTCACATTTTAGAAACAGTCACATTGGAAATGGTATTACCAGGAAAGAGTGGGTGTATGTAACAACAACTGCTAGCAAAGCAGAATAAAATAATATATTTAAAGAGATGGGCTATTATAGCTGATGAAGATTTCTGAATGATCTATGATGGTTAAATACCATCCGCACATTTTCATTGCTTTTAGTGAAATACCTGATAGCCCTGGCCGGTGTAGCTCAGTTGGTTAGAATGGCAACCCAATACACCAAGGTTGTGGTTTTGATCCATGACCAGGGCACATACAAGAGTCAACCAGTGAATGCATAAATAAGTGGAACAACAAATTGATGTGTTTCTCTCTCTCCCTCCCTCTCGTCTTCTAAAAGACTTAAAGAAAAAGAGAAATACCTGATAGGTAAGATGTCAGACCTCATGAATTGATTGGAGAAAAGATAGTGGACTCAGGAAAGTTGTTATGTGATGAAAACTCAGATGTGGAAGAGCTCTGTATGTCTATGCAAACTTTGACCCGTAAGTGCTGATAATTAGCTTGAACAAAGAGCAAGGTTTATAACAATATCTAGCTAAAATATTTATTCCAATTATTCCACCTGTCTAGTTTATAGGGAAAATACAATCATTGGTTTGTCAATTTGGGGAGTTTAAAAAACTCAATAAAAATATGATATATTAAGAAAAAAAGAAAAAAGGAAACTTCTGGAGTTATATTTATTACTTGCCTCCTCAGGAAAGAAAAAAAATTGTTTAAAACAGTGAGTTTTGACATAAACCAACCCAGGAGTCATCTCAGAACTATTTCCTTGGAAACTGTCTGAAAATAGAAGTTTTATCACTTGTTTCTTCAAAATGTCACCCAACTAGGAAGAACACTGTAGTCTACAGTTCAGAATCCTTACAACATAATTTGTTGACCATTTTTTCAACCTGATTTGTAAGCTGTCAGAAAGTGAGGACATTAACTTACATGTGTATCTGTAAATGTATACTGTGCCAGGGACCTCATTTTTGTAGATCTAAAACAAGAATTGCGGATGAAAATGTTTGATCTTCTTTATTTTTTTGAAATACTCTTTTTTAGAGTAGTTTTAGGTTCATAACAAAATTGAGAGGAAGGCACAGAGATTTCCCATATACCCCCTTGTCCACACATGGTCATAGCTTACCCCATTATGCACATCACTTACCAAAATGGTACCTACACTGAGACATCATAACCACCCAAAGTGCACAGTTTATTTTAGGGCTGACTCTTGGTGGTTTACAAAAGCATAATGATGTGTATTCATCACTATAATATCATACCAAGTATTTTCATTGCCCTAAATTCCTTCGTGCTCCACTATTCTGCTACCTACCTTACCCTTGCCCCTGACAATCACTGATCTTTTTACTGTCTCCATAGTTTTGCCTCTTCCAGAATGTCGTATAGTTGGAATCATGCTGCACGTAGCCTTTTCTGATTGGCTTCTTTCACTTGTAATATGCATATAAATTTCCCCCATGTCTTTTCATGGCTTCATAGCTTATTTCTTCTTAGCACTAAATAATATTGTACATTCATTGTCTGAGTGCACCACAGTTTATCTATTCGCTCACCAACTCAAGGACATCTTGGTTGACCCCACGTTTGGGCAATTGTGAACAAAGCTGCTGTAGACACCCATGAGCAGGGTTTTGTGTGCACATACGTTTTTGGCTCTTTTGGGTACATGTCAAGTGCATGACTGCTGGAACATATAGTAAGAGCATGATTATTTTGTAAGCAATCAATGAACTGTTTCTAAAGTGGCTGAACCATTTTGCATTCCCCACCAGCAATGTTGCACCACATCTTCAGGAACATTGATGTTATCAGTATGCCAGATTTTGACCATTTCAATAGGTATGCAGTGGTGTGTCTTTGTTATTTTAATTAGCATTTCCCTAACAACATATGATATAAAACATCTTTTCATATGCTTAATGCCATCTGAATATCTTCTTTGGTGAGGTGTCTGTTGTTCAGATCTTTTGCCTATTTTTTAAATTAGGTTTTTATTGTTGAATTTTAAGGGGTCTTTGTATATTTTAGATAACAATATTGTATCAGATGTGACTTTTGCCAATATTTTTTCTGTGACTCCTCTTCTAGAGTTCAAGTTATCAATTATTTCTTTCGTGTATTGTGTCTTTAGTATATCTAAAATGACATCATCATACTCTAAGTTATCTAGATTCTCTCCTATGCTACTTTCTAGGAGTTTTACAGTGTTGTGTTTTGCAATCAGATCTATGACATGCTTTGAGGGGATTTTTGTGAAGGGTGTAAGGTCTGTGTCAATTATTTTTTATTTTTTGTGTGGAATCAAATTCTGCCCACTTTTTTCACCTCCACCTTCATTTCTCCTTAAAAAGTACCCTGGACTCTAAGTTGGCTATTTTGTCCCAATGGGCACCCAAGGTTCTAAAGAAAATACTGCTTGGCTCAACCCTGCCTGGTGCTCTTGCTTCTCTATTTTTTCTTTCCTTCCTGCATAACTGGATGAAGACCCCATCCTGGTGTAATAATTGGGGGTACTACAGCTACCTGCCAGGCTAAGGTAGAAATTATTTCTTACCGAGTAACTTTTTAGCAATTTCCAATTCCAGACACAGAGAAATCATGACTTCTATTTTCCCAGAGGACATGAAGTCCACCTCAGCCAATCACTCTAAACCTTTGGATCCTTCCCCATTTATTTCAGCGAGGTTAGATTTCCATGGAACTTTGGGGCCTCCCGTTAAATTGCTATTATGTTATAGCCATATTCACCATAAGAACACATCAACAATGAAAAGAAATCTGTTATCATTTTTTAATGTCTAATGTCCTATCAGCCTCAGCATTTTTGGAAGACTAGGATTTCATGCCTAGGAGACACCTCAGGGTCCTCTCTACCAAAAAATGCTTGAAAGATTGTTTCTTTCTGCTACACAATTATTTTTAATGTTCACACCAGTCAGCCCTAGAAAACTTCTATTGCCTTTCTGAGCTGACATGTGTATAGGCAGTTATAGACTGTTTCCTATTCAGCTCAAGAAAACACACACTGCATTTGTGAGCTAAATGACACACATTACTAATTGTTTATTTTCACTTATTTTTATCTTCCTCTCATGGGTTGAGTTGCTGCCAATGTATTTAGCTCAATAAATGTTCCTCATCTTCTCCTCCCAGCTTCATAATCGACTTGTAGCTTCTAGTTGCATCTCAAATAAATATTGGCAAAGCAATTCAAATCCTTAAAATGGCTCAGTGGATTGATACAGTCTCAGCTAGAGAAAAAAATAAAGACAGAATCCTCAACATGCATCATGGTTGTCAGCCTCTATCACAGGTTTCCCTGACGACTGGATTTGATGAGTCCAATAACCTTCCCCATGTTCCAATGAGACTATCACATCTTAGGCTAAATAAAAGGGATGTGTAATATCTTACAAGTATATTTGTATTTGATGGCAGTTTCCTGTGAAAGGTAAGAGAATTGGGGATAAATGAGTTTATGTATTGGATCTGATAGAACACTGGATGGTAAATGGGAAAGAAGCTGGGTGGCAAACACAGCTGAACTGGCACATTGCCATGGTCAAGAAGGTGTTCTGGGAATTATACTCAAGAAGAAAAAAAGAAGGTCAAGTTAATAAACTCCCAACCTGGACTTTCCTCTTTTGAGGACTTGGCTGTCCATGTCATCTGTTGACATCAAACCAAAGAAACTCTTTTACTTTTGTCTTTATGAGGGTCTTCATTTCCTGCACAAAGTCAGATAAATCATCTTGTTTTGTCTATCATGAAGTAAGGTCAGAAAGAACTGAAGATAGAACGCTAGGGTTTGGGCTAAACTAGAGCATGTACTGCCTCACCATCATGGTAGCCGTGTAGGTACGTATAGTTACTATTAAGATTCTTGTTGACCTGCCTCCACTCTCCCCCCTTTGGTTGGCTCAAGTTCTTTCCAAATCCAGATTCTCAGGGAGAATAAAGGATGCTCATTTAGAGACCAAAGATGCAGCTGCCTGTCCTGTTTCCTGCCCATGCTGGTGCTTCTTTCTTTTCTAAGCTCTACTTTGTATGTCTGCCCCTCACTCCAAAATGCAAATGCCTTACAGTCAATAGAAAAGGTCAGATGCATAGTCCCCGTTTCAGTTACTTTAGAGGGTAATGTGGAAGTCGCTTGTATCTGGCGGTGGGGGCGTCAAACAATATGGAAGGCTGCTGTGCGCTGCCAGGTCAGGACACCCTCCCTGGTAACTTGGCAGTTGGAGAATCTAACCAACCTCTTTTTGGGAGGTCAGAACATCCCAACATTTTGTATATATTGTGTTGGAAAGTCATAACAATTAAAATATTTCAATATTTCTTAATAAAATTCTCCTTAGACCAGAGAAAGGGGAGGCTATAGACCATAATTTCTGCTGATCAAATGGCGGGTAGAAGGCAATGTGTCAAGTCACCGACTTTCATTTCCTCAGCAGAGAAGTATAATCTCATTTGAGATGACTCGAGATTGACATTTCACTTTGCCTTTCTGGGTGGCAAAAAGCTGGGATGTCTTTCTGGGAAATATGATCCACCGAGGAAAGAATTTAAGCACCTTTTGTGAATAAATCAAATACAAATATAGACAATATTCCTTCAGGACAAAAGCATGACTTCAAAGTTTGCAAACATTTGGGTTCAGTTCTCCTATTTCGGATTTTAGTGAGCAAACATGTCAAGCTAGATTAATCCATGTATGGGCATAATATCTGAATTACTTGTTAACGAGAACGATGGACTTGCACTTCAGATGTAAAGAAGGAGAGACAGAGAGAGAGAGGAGGAGGAGAAGGAGGAGAAGGAGAAGGAGAAGAAGAGATATTTGTCTTTAAATGTCTTTATTTCTTGGAGCTTCCTGATTTTGGCAGGCTGAGCAAGAAGACTGAGAGGATTGCAGTAACTATTCTTATCATACATGTGGGAGTTCTCCCTGTGCACTTCCTCTACAAAATCAGTGGCTCCAACCACATCTTGAGAAATTTTTTACAAAATGTGTTCGATCTGACACACTGCCTGGCAAAGGCATAGAAGAATCTAAGGTTGATCTTAGAAACACCATCGCCCTTTTCCTTCACCTCAGAACACTTCTTTGAAGACACTGAAGTCTCCCAAAACAGGAGGTGAGAATAGTTTACTTGAAGAATTTGTGTGAGATTATGGTCCATGAGGTCGTTTGTATAATAATGGGCATAGTATTTCATTGGTTAAAAAACAAAACAAAAAACTTTAGGGATCTTGTCCTGAATTTATGTATTTGATAAATTCTTTTTCTCCATTTGTATGCCCAGAATGAGCACAAATGGATGCATGATTTATGCAGATATATGCTAAAGCTCCGCCAACAGGGACAAGTAGGCGAATCAAAGTCTGCTGTCTCCATGCATTCCTCTCCCCTCCACCTCCACCTCCACCTCCACCTCTCCCTCTCCCTCTCCTTCGCAAGTAACTTGTGCTCCTAGTTGCTTCTTGTCTACTATTTGGCTCACTTTTGCTTTTGTTCCTCCATCCATGTTATCACCCCCTTTTGAAGTGCCTGCCCCTTTCTTCTCCTTGTAACCAAAGCAAGTGTCTATAAATTCCAAATAACGTCTGAGGGCTACCAGAAGCTTATTTTGTCTGGGCACATTATATAATCTCATCCCTGGAGCATTTAGGATACCTGTTACAATCTGTATGTATGTGTGTGTGTGTGTGTGTGTGTGTGTGCGCGCGCGCGCGCGCGCGCGTGCGTCTTCATCTTCTTCATTGCACTTACTGTGCTAATTTCTCTCATCACAAGTATTTCAAGCTTCTTGAACAAAAAGGACCGTATTTCAATAGTACTTACTATCAACTGAGTGCTCACTACATGAAAGTAGCAAAAAGTGTTAAAGCAAACATGGAAAAGTGATGCAAGAATTAAACTGAAATTTCTTATCTGACAATTTCTCTGAGTGTGTAATGTTTGAATTGACATCTGGCCCATTCCCGTACCTAATGCTACATGTCGCGGTAGCAGAAAATGCTCGGTTCCGCTCGTGTTGTCTTTGCTTCATTTATACCTAGAGAATCACTTTCTTGTAGCTCGGTGTGGTATTATAATTAGTTCTGATGAATGAGATGTAAGCAGGGGTGCTATGTGCAATTGCTGTGCTGTGTCTTGAAAGGAAGCAGGCAAGGTGTTCGTTCTTTCCAACGTAAACACGATGGCTGGTGCACAAGCAACCATTTTGGGCCAGGAAGGTGCCTGGGGATCTACTATCACGTATCCACATTATCAGCCATGGACAGCAACTTTAAGGGTGGGTATGTGAAAAATTAATAGAGAAAAGCAGACACATTTTTCTCCCACTTTTTAAGGTGCTGTAAGGTAGGTTTCTAGCATTCACATTTCAACCTTGGAGGACCACATTCTTAGTCTACCTGGGGCAGTCCTGGGTTACCATAATGCCTCATTATAATTTTTCTACTACTTCTCAGCATTCTCAAAAGTATCTGGCTTAGGTGATGTGTTATATGAAGGTGCTACATAATCCTTTAGATTCCACATGTTTCTAGCTGCAGAAACATTTATGGAAATGACATTTTCCCTAGGAGTTTAAATGTAAAACAGCTAAAAATGGAGTTGTTCTGGTTTAAAGAGGTTGGAATGGCTACAGTTTTGCCTTATAACTGCAAATTACAGACCAGGCCTGACAGTATGTATGTGTGTGCTGGGGGAGCAGGGGCAGGTATTCATATATCTACTTGCTTGTTTCTTGGTGTGGTTTTTATTTTCATAATTGACGGGGATTTCTACCAACTAAAAAGATAATATTGTCCTTAGAGACAAATGCAATGATAAATAAAGGGAAAAAATAAGGAAGACGCATTAGACAGTGTTAAAGGCCCTTTCTTCACTGTGTTTTTCGGAGTTCAGCCAATTTACTGAATTTACATAATCCTTCCCACTCAGGGATACCTACTTGGTTATCCCAATTTTACAAGCGAGAAAACCGAAGTCGAAAGCAATGCAGTGGGTTTCTATGGTCACATAAACATCTGACTAAATGGCTGAACCCAAACCCCAACGTACCCAAGCTCCTCTCATTGAAGACTGATTAAGACTGGGGTTTTCCCTTTTTTCTACGAAGCGTTCTTTTCATGTTGGCTCTTGTCCATATTCCCTCCTATTTACCCGATGACTACTGTGACTCAATTATTGCAACCTCCTTCCAGAGAAGAGAAAAGAGGAAGCGAGAGGAAATTAACAGTCATGTTAAATGAGTCTATCCCTTTTAGGAGTTTACTTTGAATTTATATTAGTTCACACAAACACTCCATCCATGCTTTTGTTCCGGCCCTCCGGTCCAGTTTAAGAACCCATTGTGGCCCTCGAGTCAAAAAGTTTGCCCACTCCTGGGCTAGTGGCTTCATCAGTTAATCCTTGGCGAAGGGGAATAAGATTACGGTGACCTGTCGTCGCCAACTTTAACAGCTGCCCATCAGAGAATTTTGCTTTATTTCTCCCCCACAGGCTTGCTAAGGAGGAGTGTCCTAGATAAGGACCACATTTCCAAACCTCTCTTGGACCCAGGTGAAGCCACGTGATTAGATCCTGACAATAGAATGTCAGGTAGTGATCTGGTCTCCTCCATGAGGAAGTGGAAGGAGTGAGTGTTCCTTTCCTCCCTGTTCG